AATACAAAGTGTTGTAGGAAAACTGGTCTTTTGTGCTGAATGTCATTTACAGCTCATACAGTTGATTCATTATTGTCTGATTCATTATTTTAACTAGTTTTTCTTTTGTATTTTTGTCTTTTAGATTATAAATAAACCCATTGCGTGGCCTGTTTCTCGTACAAACACACTCTTTTCAGTCTTTTATTTGGCATTGTGGGTTGAAAAGCAAAAATGTGTGTGTTTTACATTCGGTCAACCTTTAGTAAATAGAGTTGGATATTTATTATTTTTTTGTCAGACCTGAATGAGGTTTTCAGTAGATGTGCGTATCGGCGTGTCAGATCAGATGTTTGCGTGACGGTCTTGCATGTAAACATACGGGACATCACATTATCATAACACATTCCTTTCCATCGAATGTCCCGTGTGCGGGTCCCCAAACGACTCCTCGTCTTCCCCAATGAGTCACTGCGCTCTATAAATATTTATTCGAAAAAAATCTTTAGAAACTTCATTTGTTATTAAAGCTCAAGCTCTTCAGGATCTCATTGTGTCTGAGAGAAGATTCCTTTCCGTTGTTTGAATATTTAGTGCGGTTTGTATTTGTGATTCTAAATTGATTTATATATATCCCGTACAATAAGTACTACCATGATGTATTAATACTTCGCAGTTAAAATAAAAAGAATCATTACAGTAATGAGAAATTAATATATATATACATTTTTTTTTTTAGGTGAAATTTTTTTACAGGTTTCATAAGATTCATGCTTATAATCTAGTCTGAAAATAAGAAAATGCAGAAGAAAAGCACTGGACGTGAATAATTAGGCCTCATTATTAATGCTGACTGTGGCTGATGTAGCTTGGCTTTTTAAAGTAAGTGCATAACTGAAATGCTCTGATTGTAAACATCTACTTTTAGATGGGTTGCATAAGTGCACATCAGTAACGCTCGGTGGATGAAGATGATGCCACCGCTGAAGAACGAGCTGCTGCTGCAGTAGATGTGGATTATGTGTCTCTGCTCATTACAACCGAACGGAATGTACCCTCTGGCTAACCTACAGGACGCTTTTGCTTTTTAAAACACGAGACGAGATCTTGAAACACTATCGTTTCTCAGAGAGCCACTAATGCGTTTGAGTTTTCCCTCCACTTTAAGCCTCCTGTGTCCGGAGTCTGTCCTGCAGGGATGGAGGGATGTTTGTGTCCAGGGATTTCCCGACATTTCTGCCGTGTTATCGGATAGCGCTCGGAATAATAACCCAAGCATAACCCAGCAATAATCCTCTGGATATCTGCAGCTGCGATGGAGCGCGAAACCCTCGAAAGCAAATCATCCACTGATCAGAAAAGCGTGGTGAAGACTGAAGTATCCCAGTAATCCAACGGCCTATTCTGAGTGCTGATGTCAACAAACGGCCCGGTGTCCGTTACGGCCTGGGGAATGCGGGAATGCCGGAGCAGGTGATGTCACCGTGTGCTTTGGTTCGAGGCGGCGGGCGTGTCGTGAGCTCGGTCGCCCTATAAGTCAACGGCGCCTGTCAGCGGATCGTATATCTGGGGCTTGTTGTCACGCTGTTCTCAGAATCACTGACTGCAGAGGCTCACTGTGACTCTCTTCTGAGCTTTGAATATGGATCTTAATCAGGGTTGATGCTATGTTAAATATGACACACGTGAAAATATGCACACGCACACTGTATGTATGTAGGTTGTACTGTCATTGTGTCTTGTCTGATTTTCCCAGCCCTTGTTTTTCTCTGGGCCAGGAATGGCCATCACAGCTGCTCTGCAGTTTTGGAAACTGGTAAGATATATTTTCAGTTTTCATTGATGATTGTGGGATGATCACAGCAAACAACAGTACGACACATCAGACCTCAAGAACAACGAGTTTCTGGACTATCCATCTGTCTGTCTGTCTGTCTGTCTATCTATCTATCTATCTATCTATCTATCTATCTATCTATCTATGTATCTATCTATCGTCTGTCTGTCTATCATTCCATCCATCCATCCATCCATCCATCCATCCATCTATTAATCTGTCATTCCATCTATTCATCCATCTATTGTTCTACCTATCATTCCATATATCCATCCATCCATTTTTATACCTATCATTCCATCCATCCATCTATTAATCTGTCATTCCATCCATTCATCCATCCATTCACCTATCTATCGATCAATCTATCGTTCCATCCATCCATCCATCATTCTATCTATCATTCCGTCCATCCATCTATTAATCTATCTGTCATTCATTCCATCCATCCATCTATTGTTCTACCTATCATTCCATATATCCATCCATCATCTACTTTTATACCATTTCATCCATCCATCCATCGTTATACCTATCATTCCATCCATCCATCTATTAATCTGTCATTACATCCATCCATCCATCCATTGTTCTACCTATCATTCCATATATCATCCATCCATCCATCTATTTTTATACCATTTCATCCATCCATCCATCGTTATACCTATCATTCCATCCATCCATCCATCCATTAATCTGTCATTCCATCCATCCATCTGTTTATCTGTCATTACATCCATCCATCCATCCATCTATCTGTCATTCCTTCCATCCATCTATTGTTCTTCTTATCATTCCATCCATCCATCCATCGTTATACCTATCATTCCATCCATCCATCCATTAATCTGTCATTCCATCCATCCATCTATTGTTCTACATATCATTCCATCCATTCATCCATTGTTCTATCGTTTCATCCAAACATCCATCTATCATTCTATTTATCTGTCTATCCATCTATCTACCCATCCATGCGTCCATCCATCCATCGTATCCTGTCCTTCAGTCAGTCCATCCGTCTGTTTATAAAGCTGCATCATATTCCATGTTTTTGGAAGGTATTCTGCAGGTCTTTCTCTGCATGAGCAGCTGAAGAATGTGTGTGATTTTCCTGCAGATCCATCCTCATACGTGCAGTTCTGGATCTAAATGTCTGAATGCGGGATCAGGCCTCTTCTGGTCCGATCAGTGACACGGACACAGAGAGCCGCTAGGCTTCTTCACAAACCTCTGCAGCCTCATGGAAACATTTCCACAGAGTGCCCAGATTTACTGCTCGGTCCGGCTTTACAGCCAGCTTTTGTTTACCATAGAATCCTGGGCCGCTGTTCAGGAATGCATTAGAGCCGAGCGGAACGGATCCCGACTCTCCAAACCGCTCCTCAGCCCTGAAATGTCTCTCAGCACGTCTGAGCTTCAGCTGAAAGACAACTGATCATCTGAAAGCCCTGGAGTATGATGGACTTCCTACTGTAAATATCTTTTTTACATGTTGTAATTTACAGTGTATACTAATGTGTGTGTGTATAAAATGTTTTAGATCTGAGCATAACTAGAAAAAGATTTTACATAACACAATTATAATCATATAATATAAAATTACAAATTTATTTTAATTTATAATTTATAGCTTTTTTAATTAATATATTTATGTATTTATTTTGTGCAACATATATGAAAGGCTTTGGAGCTGAGCATAACTAGAGAAAAGCATAACTAGAAATATATAAAATATATATAATAAATATATATATTTTATACTAGTATATATATTTTATGATATGAAATGTTTATAATAATAAAGGGTTTTATAAATAAACATGACTTTATTTTTCTAGTTATGTTTAGGACTTAAACATCTCATTGGAGTGCAATTTATATAAAATGAAAAACCACTGGAAGGAAAAAAAGGTAAATTTTTATCTGTCTAGTTAATTGTTCTTTCATTTTTAACCCTCATGCATAGATGATGTATTCATGAACGCACACAAAAGCATGATAGAAACGAGATTTATTTTGTAAAAAGTTATAAAATGAATATTGTACAAAAATAAAGTCTGTAGAGAGCTTTGGTTCAGTAACACAAAACAAGACAAAACGTCTCACAGGACCGACGAACACTGCAGGACGGAAAATGAGCTTCAGCAGACATTTTAACTCTTATCGTGAATGTTCTCTTTCGAGGAATCCACGAGCGTAAGTTACACGCGCAGGACATGTGCATCATTCATCAGGACAGAGGAGCGCAGCGAATGCTTGTTTTGACTGCAAAGCACGTTTATCATGATTAAGGTGGAGCGGCTGATGAAATATATCCTGATAAAAGAGGCACCTCGTGCTTTACAGAGGTTTGGCCTGGATACTTCTGAAATGAGTGGATTTGTTCAGGGATTATGGCATCATAATGCAACAGTAAAGTCCAAAGTATACTTCAGTGTGTTTGACTCTAAGATTTTAGATATTTGCATTAATAAATGCCTTAAATTTAGGTTGGTTCCTCATGCAAATCAATCATATGACTTCAGAAGGCTTTAAATATAGTGCATAAGTTATTTTATTTTTTTTAAGTATACTTCGCTGGATTTCACACGTAGATTAGTATTTGCGCGTGACGCAAATTTCGTCATCAGAATAGTACGCGCACCACCATATTTTTGTAACCGCGCCTACTTTTTTGTCGCACATGCGTATTGAAGTTGATTAGCAATAATCAGTTATTCCACGAGGTGAAAGCACTGGCTCAACCTTAGTTTAAAATAGTACAGACTTTTATATTTTTAACAATCATAACTTCTGGAGAAAAATAGCGCAGACACTGGACTAAGATGAACTTTCTAGCGCGCATGTGCCGCGCACTATCGAATGGAGTATAGACTTTATGTAGCTCCGCCCATTTTCAGCACATAAATCTGCTTCACCAGCGAATTACTCTTCAACAGTGATGCTATAGAGCTACCGCAAAACTTGTTTCTCTACGTTAACTCCAGCATACGCGTACAAAAATGAAAGCTGCATCCCAAATGACGCACTATACTCTATGCACTTATACACTATGTTCTTATGCACTATGTACTCAACCAAGTAGAGTATGACTTTCATTCATAATGGGAGTCTGATAGCCCCTCCCCCTTCGCTACGTAATTAAAGCTGTGACAATTCCTATTTAAGTGCATCATCC